GTAGTGAGGTTTTTTCCGAAAAGTAGTGAGGTTTTTTCCGAAAAGTGAAAAATTTGGGATCGTTTCATTTGCACCAACACCACACTAAACTAGTGACTAGTCGGAAAAAGGAAAAATAATATACGAAAGGTTGACGATAGCTCGCAATATGGCCACTAAAAATGTTCCCTTCGTATATTACCTTGTACAGAGTGTTTCAAAAAAAAAAGAAAAACTTACCTAATTAAATTTGAGAGAAAATAGTGACTGTAAAAGATCTTCGTTAAAAGGAGCCGCCAAAAAATATGAAACTTTAGGAGAAAAACGAAAAAAAAGAATCTAGGATAAATTATTCTGAATAATTGGTTGCTTTTTCCTCGAGGATATCACCAAGATCCTTGAGTATACTCGTCAAGTTTGCTCTTGTAGTGTTATAGTTTGGATGTCACAGCAGGATGCTTTTATTTCTCATCCACGGGATCTTAATTGAGTAGCAGACACTCAACGAGGATAACAAAGTGCTCGGAATTTCTCTTCGGGGGATAAAGATGTCCGAAAAGGGAGAAAGATATTGCGAAAGAGTCGGGAATGATCTTTTTGTGTAATCGCTTACACTTGTCGAAAAGTTTCTTCTTTCTCTCTTTCCTTTTCTATCCCTTTCTAGCTATAAAAATATTACATACAATTTTGTTATTGGGTTGGCAAGTAAATAATTGCGTATTTTATCGATAGTTGGCTTTTAAAAATCAGCAATGTTTTAGTTGCCAACCTAATAGTATCACGAATGTCAACAGTTATCGCAAATGGTCGAGTAAAAATGGATACTATGCGTACTTATACGCGAGACACGAATAAACGTAAAGATTTATGGTAGAATATTTTCCCCTGAAGAAAATCTCGTCTATAGATAAGACGTAAATACGTATTTCCTTGGTATAACGTTTCGAAAGAAACATAAACGTCAAAGAATCGTCGAGGTGAAACGAGAAAAGTGGGCCACTCACTCACTAAAGTGTCGAATAAAAAACACGTTAGAATGTTTTTGCCAATCGATCAACGATAAAAATAATTAATAATAGGACAACATAATATCGGCTAGGTTAAGGACAATAGAAAAGTCAGCCTAGTTGCTTTCCTTACTTTTAGATAGAACGAGACAACCTAAGAAAAGAGTTGAAACGAGATGGCTGGCATAACGAGAGCTTATCTTAGGAACTACGACGCTATGCTTCGTTTGGTAGGGAAATTAACAACGAGATTCTCCATGCGTTTGCATAGAAATTGCATTCCTTAGCACATGCAACTGCATCTACGGCAGCGAAACGCCGTTATCCTTTTTATTGCGCGCGCGCGTGCGAGCTCATGTACGACTGGGAATAGTTGGAGTCCTTTTCTAAAAACGAATTCATTCCCTAACGAAACTTTCAACTTTTCCACATCCACAGGATACAGGATACAGGATACAGGATACAGGATACAGGATACAGGATACAGGATACGTATATTCACTCTACTATCTTTTCTTATTTTTTTTTTTCAATTATCTACCCCCACTTCCCCTTTCTGCCTTTTCCCAATGATAATTCACGAAAATTTTGACAAATTTTGACTGGAAAACAATCAACAAGTAAGACGTCTTAATTTTTTTGAAGCTGATAGATCCTTTACACTTTCTTCTAAAAGGTAAAGAAAATTTTCCTGTGATAAAATTGCAAAAGGAAAGAAGAAATGCTGACTTTTCATTCCTCACGTAAAAGGCACTCGATACGTCGATACTTTACTAACAGTGAATTTGCAAGCATTTTACTTTAGAGTTTTGAATTTCCCCGTTGGAAAATAAAATTTTTCTACCTGAGCTATTTGAATCCAACTTGTACTTCGTGCAAATGACTTGCTACTTGTCATTTTATATATTATAAAATTTCTATATATAGTAGATGTTTAATATTTACACGAATAACGATAGGTAAACGTTTATTGAAAATGTTGTTTTTATTTAGGTTGAACAAAGAAAAAATAAAATGTGAGAATTTATTTGCAAGTAGAATAAGTCAAGATATTTTGTCTTCTGTCTATTGACGAGATTCTTGGAAGAAATCGGAACAAATTATCGCGACACGAAGAGAATTTGCTACTAGAGAAAGAAAGAGAGGGAAAGAGAAAGAGAGAGAGAGAGAGAGAGAGAGAGAGAGAGATTAGAGACTAGGAGGTGTTAAACCGCAAACTTGCTTTAATTTTCTACCTTTTGAATCTTCCGAAGTAATTCCAGGTTGCGAGCTTTCTAACTAAACCTCAAGAAACCGTGTAATAACATCGTAAATCTAAAACCTTCTTTCTCTCTCTCTCTCTCTTACTCTCTTTTTACAATTGGTAAATACGTATTAAGAAATTATGCAGTCTAGCTAAAAAGATGAATATGAACGAATAATGATCACGATAATGGTAATAATCATATTATTTTATTTAATTACAGATAACCCTTCACCTGCAACACGATTCATAAATTGCAAAAACCTTTGTACAATATTTTGTATTTTTACAGCACTGGATAATACGATTTTGTGTTATATATAATATTATATATTAATTAAAATAATATTATATATATAATATAATAATAAGTATATAAAAATATAAAATAATAATAAATATTATATATAATATTAATTATTAATTATTATTTATATTATTAATTAAATTTAGAAATATTATCTTTAAAATTCAATATTACTTTAATATTATTATATTAAAAAATTTCAATTACTTTAAAATAATGACATAAAAAAATAATGTACTCTGTGTGTCTCATATGACCCTGGTTTCACACAACATTTTTTAGGAACCTATTATCTAGTTATAGAAAAGGGTTACTTGTACTTATTTGTAGAATAAAAAAGATAATGATAAACAGTAATATATAAAAGTAAAAAAAAAGAAAACATTATAAAGAAGAAACTGTATGAAAGTAAAGCTTTTCAAGAGACGAACTTTAAGATCGGGGCCACTGAATCTACTTAAAGTTCACTTGCTAAAACGCAACGTCCTCACCTAATGCAAATTCTTACGAATCGACTTAGGCAGTCGGTGATGGTGGTGGTGGTGGTCGTCGTCGCGGTTTCTACTCTTTTCAAAATAGGTAAAGTGCAAACGAATTTCTACATCTTTTGATCTCACCGTAACCGTACCGTGTACCACGTGAATGTTTTCTCACTTAAATTCCTTTTACCAAATGCGCGGTGATACAGAAGGATGCGAGAGAACTATTCCTTTTTTTTTTCTATGTTTTTTTCTTTCGTGTTTTTCCCCGTAAAATCTTCTTGAGAAAAGAAGAAGAAAAAAATAAAGAAAAAAAGAAGAAGAAGAAGAAGACTCGTAGGTGTGTAGGTACATACATGTATTTATTTTAGTATATACTCGTACAATTTTCTTTTTTCTCTCTTCTTTTTCTTTTCTTTTTCCTTTTCCTTTCTCTGTGTCTCTCTTTAATCAAACTATTACTTTCTTTTAGTATTCTTTAACTTTGTACATTTCGTTTTAAGTTTAGTTTATCTTCTTTCGTAGCACAAGTTAGATTATCCAATGGTATTACACTTGCACTAACTCGACCAAATTTGGAGAAACTTACTTATTAACTTAAGACGGATGTAAAGGTAAAAAAAAAATCTTATAATCAAAAAAACAAAAAAAAGATGAAAAAACAAATAAAAAATATAAAAAAAAGAGATGAGAACAAAAATTGAGTGGTTCGTCTAA